GGAATGCCCAAAGCAAAGAACCCCTGCTTGGCTGGGGAGAGGGAGAGAGGGAAAGACCACAGTGCTCAGTCTCACTAGAACATCAAAGGGAAGGTTTTTGTCAGCAGGTCTTCTCCAGATTTACTATCTGGGTGTCCAGAAGAGCTGTGACTGTTCTACATGTGCTCCCCACGCTCATTTGGGGCTGCAGAAGTTCAGCTCCTTGCTCTTATTCCCAGTGTTTACCATTAATGCTGCCATCAGGCCCAGCAGTCCTTGTCCCAGAGTGGCTGCTCAGCATGCAGTCCCTCACCCTGAAGGGTCACTACCCTAGGGATGTCACAGCACCCCAGGCCATTCCCATGCAGGGTTGGACACAGCTCCAGGCAGTGCCAGGAAGCCCAGGTTCTTTCCCAGTGCCAGCAGCTTGAGCTCCTCTGGGCTCAGGAGCAACCCAGGAAAGCTTGATAACTCTGGCAGGAGGGTTATCTCTCAATTACTGGATGTATCATGAGACTCTTTGCATTTCCTGTTTTGTGTTTTTCTCTGTGATTGTTAAAATAATACATTAACCAAAAGCAGGAGAACTCCCAGGCAAGCAAACAGAGTATAAAAGTAATGACATAGCTTGGTAAATCCAGTAGGATCACGGGCACCTCAGTGTTGTGCTGGTCTTGGTGGAGGCAGCACCTACTGTTGCTGGGGTAAAGCATGGGGTTATTTGGGAGCCTTCTCATTTCTAGGACTTTTCTACCTGCTTTTAGTTTTTTCACTCCCTCCTTTGGTTTCTCCTCTGTAAATCTATCATAAAGTTGTTGAGTTTGGTGGCTGAGAAACAAGAAGTGCTGAATCTTGGAGTGCACCAGAAGTTTGCTTTAGTTGTGGTACCTTTGCCTTGCCCAGAGCTCTGGCAGGGATGAGGCTGGCTGCAGGCAGAGTCCTGCTGCTCAAGGATGCTGGCAGACCTAGCAGCACCAGGACTTAGGCTGTTGGGATGCTCTGTCCCAGGAATCAAGTGCTGTGGTCTCACAGGCTGCTCTGGCTTTGCATTTCTGTGCCTGGGACAAAGTCAGACCTGAGCACAGCCGCCAGAAAGGTAGAAATTCCACCTTTCTCTGGGACATTCTCCTGGTGGACCAAAACTTCGACAGTATGTTGCTTCTTCTGGTGTTCAGAGCCTCAGAGACACTCAGACAGGGATGTGGGATGTCAAAGTGGTGGTGATGTCTACCACAGGGGTGTCCTATATCCTCTGGGCAGTTTCTTACAGCACAGAATTTGTGGTGGGCTCGAGTCACCCTTTGCAGTCCTGGACCCCAAGATCTGAGTTTCCCTTTGCTTTTGTCCTGCAGTCACACCCACTGTCCCTGTGCAACACCAGTGAGGATGAACACACCGAGTCGGGATTCATCACCATTGTCAAGCTGGAACAGCCAGATCGGGATCCCAACCCTTGCCTGTCGCTGGCTAACAAGGTAGGTGCAAAAATGCCCCCAATGGCACCAACCTGGGAAGTGAAACCCCTGGTGCAGGAAAGAGTGAGAGCAGGATGAGGCAGAAGGGTAGGAAAGAGCTATTGGAAGATGGAGGAAGGGACAAGGATCGAGCAGGTTCCTTCGCAGAAGGGGTCCCTGGGTGGGATGCTCTGCCAGCCATCCCCAGTGCCCATCCCTCCTGGTTTTGAGATTGCCTGGCACGATAAAAGGGGTGGAGATTTCCCTGCTCTGACTGCTCCGAGACAGCTCAGACGTTTCCCCAGCATCTTCTAGGTTTTACTCCCTGGTAGCCTCATACGCCTTCTGCTCTGCAGCCTCTCCTTGCTTGCTGGTGTGTTGAGGGGGGTTGTGTTTCTCTTTGTTCTCTGTCCTGTGGGAAAACATGGGCACAGAAAACATCTTCTGTGGTCCTGTCTTTAAAGAGAATACTGTAATACTTCACTGGAGGAGGCACCTGAAGAATCAGTGCTGAGCAATCCAGACAAATGCAAACCAGAGGAACTAGTGGTGGGATGTGACTCTTGAACTTCGTGGGCCACCATCCACCCTACAAAGGGATGGAAGATCTCACAGATCTTCAGCCCAGGGTTCCTGTGAAAGAGGTACCTTGGCGAAACAGCAGATACTGTGCCAAAAGATGGGACCTCTGGTACAATCCTCTGGTAATAAGGAAGTTGGGTAGGAAGGAGGGTAATTTTAAGCCTTAAAATCTTGTGTCTCTGATAAAGTTGCATGGATAAAGATAACATGAGCTTTTTCTCCAGTGCTGGAGAACTGTGTCCACTGTTCCACAAGCACTGTACAAACATGAAAAAAAACCTTTGTTTAGCTCTTCCTGTCTTTATTCAGCTTGCATGAAGGAGATGCCACCTCTGTTGACTGCTTTCTGGTGGTAGTGACATGCTGGTCATGGGGACAGTGTCCTTTTCTGTCCTTCCTGTAACTCAGCTGAAGGGGACAGGCAAAACATGCACCAAGCAGTTGTTCCTGTGCTGCAGTTTTTCTTTCCTTAGAGGCTGTGGCAACAAAAGCAAGAAAAGGGATCATAGAATCATGGAATGGTCTGGGTTTGAAGGAACCTTCCAACCCCCTGCATAGGCAGGGACACCTCCCACCAGCCCAGGTTGCTCCAAGCCCCATCCAACCTGCCCTTCAACACTGCCAGGGATGGGGCAGCCACAGCTTTTCTGGGCAATCTAGGCCACTGTCTCACCACTCTGATAGTGAAGAATTTCCTTCTAATGTCTAATCTAAATCTCCCCTATTCTAGTTTAAAACCCTTGTCCTCTTGCTACATGCGCTTGGTCAAAAGTCCTTCCCCAGCTTTCCTGGAGCCCCTTCAGGCACTGGAAGGTGCTCTAAGGTTTCCCTGGACCCTTTTCTTCTCCAGGCTGAACAAGCTGGAGCTGATGCCAGGTGTTAGCCCAAGCCAGTGTGCTGGGGTTATCAACCAGCTACTAGCTACCCCACATCTGGAAAAGGGCCTGGTCCCACCTCTGTGTGTTCTTGGTGCACGAGAAGGGTGGGATAAAGAGCAGCTTGTGAGAGACATGAGAGCAAGGGCTCTGCAGGTGCCTTAGGGAGCACATCTGCATAATCCAACTCTCCTGGTGGTCCCAGGCTGCCACATCTCCCAGGGTAGGATGCTGGGGGTGGGAGCAGCAATGACTGGTTTGGCCAGTGCAGCTACTTGATCTTGATCTTGAGCAGGATCTTGAGGATCTTGAACAGGAGGAAAGAGCAGCTTCAAAGGCTCATCTTCCACTTAAGAATCTAAAACATGTAAAAACTGTTTTGCTAGTTTTGTCCTTAATCTGTGAGTCTCTGGTCACAGAACAGGATGTACCAGTGTGTTACTGAGTCCAGGAAGGTCTGCACAGGGATCACAGAATCACATAGAATCACAGAATCATCCTGGTTGGAAAGCACCTTGAAGATCATCAAGTCCAACCATAACCTAATCTATCCATTTAGTGCTTGGACAGAAGTTGTGTCCTTTGCCACAGGAGTGTCAAAGATGTTGCGAAGAGTCACTTGTTCAGTCTCAGTGGTTCGTTTCCCCATCATCAGTGTCTCTAGCAGGATAAAATCTCTGTAGAGCTGTTTAGTGTTCATCAAAGCTTGACTGGCTCCAGCGGGTGGAAGTCACTACCTGAAAGTCCTGTTTCATCTTTGGTGCTGGCAAATGCTGAGGCTCCTTTGATCCCTGGCAGGACCCCAGTCTCTGATCCCTGTCCCAGCCTCTGATCCCACTCTTCCAGCTCCCCATCTGATATACGAATCCCAAGAGTGTCAAATCCTATCAGCAGCTCTGAGCCTTCAGCCCTGTCTCTGGGGTCTTCCCAACCATCACCACGTCCCTGTCCCCAGACCCAGGCACCCACCTCTGGCACTCAGCTTCTCCCTGACAAGGGGTGGGAAGGGTGACCAGCACCTGCCAGCAAGGGATGAAGCAGGAGGGCACCTCTCCAGAAGGGATGACCTGGCTGATCACATCTCTGTTCTGGCATCCCACGAACTGTACAAGCAAGAAGCAGAGCTGGGGTGCTCAGAGCTGGATATCCTGACTACTGCTGCATCTCAAGAGGTTGCTTAGGATCTGAAGAGGGAAAGTCTTATAGGGATAGGCGGAGGGAGCTGGGATTGTTTAGGCTGGAGGAGACTCAGGAGGGACCTTCTCGCTCTCTACAACCATCTGAAGGGAGGTTGTGATCAGGTGGGGTTGGGCTCTTTTACCAGGCAACTAATGACAGGATGAGAGGACCTGGTCTGAAGCTGCTCCAGGGGAGGTTTAGGTTGGATGTCAGGAAGCACTTCCTCATGGAGAGGGTGATCAGACACTGGGATGGGCTGCCCAGGGCAGTGGTGGAGGCACCATCCCTGGAGGTGTTCAAGGCAAGGCTGGAGGTGGCACTTGGTGCCCTGGTCTGGAGATGTGGGGGTGTTGGTCATAGGCTGGGCTTGATGATCCTAAAGGTCTTTTCCCACTCTGGTGATTCTGTGGTTCTGTGGTTAACTGTGAGCTGCACCTGCCTTCCCCTGCTGTGCCTGCAAGGCGGGGGTGTTTGGCGCGGCCGGGGAGCAGCTCCGGGAGCGGCCGCTCCTGTTTGCACAGGCCGCGGGACGCGCGGATCAAAGGGCTCCGCCGGAGTTCCCGGGCCCAGCCCTGCACTTTGCTCACGTTCCCGTGGCTCCCTTGCACAAGAGGCTGCCTCTGCCTGCCTGCAGGGCTCCAGGGGCCTGGTGGGAGGACACAGGTGACCCCACAAGGTGCCGAGGTGGCACGAATCCTCATTGGGGTGGATCTCAGAGCACGGGCTGTGCAAAGCCAACCCACTCCTAATCCTCAACCTGACCTTCAGCCCAAGCATCACCTGAGCTTCTCCCTCCTGGAAATCATAGAATCATAGAATCATCCTGGTTGGAAAGCACCTTGAAGATCATCAAATCCAACCATAACCTAAATCAACCACCCATAACCTAATCTACCCATTCAGTGCTTAAATCACGTCCCTCAGCACCACATCTGTTTCTTTGAAACACTTCCAGGGATGGTGACTCCACCACCTCCCTGGGCAGCCTGTTCCAGTGTCCAACCACTCTTTGGGTAAAGAAATTCATTCTAATATCCAGTCTAAATCTCCCCTGGTGCAACTTCAGGCCATTTCCTCTGGTCCTGTCATTATTCACTTGAGAGAAGAGGATGGAGGGGCCAAGGAGAGCCAGGCCCATGGCCAGCCTAGGGCTGGTGCGGCCGTGGTGGGAAGTGGGGCCCTGCAGAGGTTTCTGCTTGCCTGGGACAGGAAGGCTGCAGGGTTCATGAGGCTGCAGATCCCTCCCCAGTAGATCCATCACTGAAGCAAAGAGCACATGACACAGACATCTGGGGAGTCTGATGTGTAGGTTTTTCGGTTTAAGCCCACCAACTGGTTTGACTCCACAACTATAGGGAGAAACCCTCCATGAACCACAGAACTCTAGCACGAGCAGGCCCTGCAGCTCAACACAAGTACAGAAACCAGGGTGTAAAGTACTTTCTCAAGTTAAGCAGCAAATGCTTCTTTCTCCTGTGAAGAGCCAAGGTGGCAAGTACATATCCAGATGGTAGATGTTAACACAGTGATACAATAGAAAATGTTCACTGAAGCTTGTGTTCTTTTGGACAGGCAAAGCTGGCAGGGGAGCGTGGAGCCCGCGCAATCCTTTTTGACATCACTGATGATGAAAGCGCTGCTGATCAGGTACAAACCCAATTGATGTTATCAACTAAACCACAGTGCCCCTGGCCCATCCCAACATGTGCCCAGGTCAGGACCCACCAGCCACCACCGGCCAGCAGGAGGTCCCAGGAAGATACCACAGGCTGGCTTTGATGGTCACCCAGCTCACCCAGACGCCTGTGCTCACTCCATGGCCACATCTCCACACAGCAGCTGCAAACAGCACCTTGCTGCTCTTAAAGGGCATTGTCTGGTCAACTGAGCTTTTCTGCCAGGAGCTGGATGCTTCCTCTTGGGAATTCACAGAATACCTGATCCCACCCAGTTCAGACAGCCCTGGGGTACATTAGGGGAAAGATGATTTATTGAGTTTTCAAGCCAGTCACAGCCACCCTGCTGTGCTTTTGGTCATACTCCTACTGCAAATTTAACATTGGTCTAGAGACCTCCAGAGGTCCTTTCCACCAACACTGCTGTTGTTTATGCAAAAGTCTTTAAACTGTGTGCAAGATTTATTGGATGGAACCAGATGTGCCTGGGGGGCTGAGATAGTCCATGTTTCAGACTGTTCTGGACCACCTCTCACTGTGTTTGTTTCTTTACAGTTGAGAAAGCCTCGAGGTCTGAGTCAGCCTGTGGTTCTGATCAGGGGCCATGATGCTGAGCTTCTCATGGGTGTCGTGAACAAGAACAGAGAGGCCCATGTGAAGATAGAGGTCAAGGAGCCACCAGCTTGGGTGAGACACACACCATTCTTGCTGCCTTTTCTATCCTGTCTCCTGAGCTGCTGTGTGGTAGAACAGGACATTCTGAAAGATGCTGAGATTGCAGCCCTTTGCAGGACCTGCCTGTCTGCAGCGTTCAGACTGATGTGCTGCAAATAAAGGCTCAAAACTCTTTCAGCTTCTTTAGTTTATTTTGCTTAAACATCAGGAGTGAGGTAAGGGGATTCCTTGTCTCTTCAGGTGAGACCAAGGCTTGATTTTCTCATCTTAAGCTACTTTATCATAGAACTATAGAATGGTGAAAGTTGGAAGGGACCTTAAAGATCATCAGGTTCCAACCTCCCTGCTATGAGCAGGAACACCTGCCACTAGAGCAGTCTACACAAAGCCTCATCCAACCTGCCTTGAACACCTCCAGGGAGGGGAATGAGACCATGGCCTGTGGGGAGCTGAGATCCTGCAAGACAGAGAAATTCCATTCCTGCTTGCAGAAAAGACTGAAGACTTTTTACCTGTAAAGACCAAGGAGGTGAAGCTTGGCCAAGGATCATCTTTCAAAGGCTGGTGGTCAGGAAGAGATCAGGATTTCCCTGCCTAGCCTCTAATTCCCACCCCTGTCACACAAGTATAAGTTCTTTCCTGTTTTATCCAACAGCCAGACTACGATGTGTGGATTCTTCTCACGGTGGTCAGCACTGTGGTCGTCATCATTTTGATTTTTGTTGTCCGCACAAAGTGCCAGCTGAACAGGACTCAGGTAGGAATCTCACAGAGCAGATGTGGCTGTTCTCCTCCTGCCACCACTGGCACTGCTGTCCCAGCACCTTGCAGAGCTTGTCCCAGCACCCAAAGCTCTGGAGGTGGCCCACAAGCTCCTGATTTTAGCAGTGTTGTCTGTATTGATAGAGAGATTGAGCATTTTTCATAGAAACTAACAAATTAAATCATCATCTTTCCAGAGTCAGATATATTTCCAGATGTGAGAATGTCCCATTTGTCCTATAGAAAGCTTTTGGGGCTCAAAAATTCAGTCCTGCTGAGTGATTTTGAATGCTTAGGGCCAGACATCTCCAGCTGGTGACAAGGCCTACTCTGCCTAAGCCAGGTTGGACAAAAAATAACCTCTGGAAATGAATATATCCCTGATAACCCCACTTGGAGATGGGAAGGGCTATGAGAAGTGTGGCAGGGAAATGCTGGGCATCCTTCAAGCCTCTTTCTCCCTGCAGGACTCCCTGCAGCAGCAGACCCTGCAGGCCATCGGGCGGCTGGCCACGCGGAGGTACCAGCCCAGGTGCCGGCAGGCGTCGCGCTGGGACTCGGGCAGCAGCTGCAGCTCAGCCCCAGTCTGTGCCATCTGCCTGGAGGAGTTCAGCGAGGGCCAGGTAGGTTGTGGGCACAGGTCTGAGCTCCCCAGCTGCAGGCAGGTGGGAGCTGCCAGGGGAGCTGAGTGGTCTGGCAGGGGTGGGAGGCCCTTGGGGTGTTTCTTTCAGCAACTCCTGAGGGCTGGGAAAGGACTGGCGTGGTTGGAGGTCTACCTGCCCCTTGGCCAAAAAAGCACTGCCCCTGCTGAAGCCACTTGCCTGCAGATTCAGACTCTGTGAAGACGGGTCTCCAGCTATTGCTGAAGGGTAAAATGGCCATAATACATCCATGGTGAAACAACAGGGCAAAAATGGGGTTTGCTTCTCCAAAGCACCCTGAAACACCCCGTCCCAAGGGGTACACCTCTCAGGACATTCACATCTTAGAGCTGGATGCAGCAAGCAGAACCAGAGCTGCCAGGCTGCTGTACAGCCTCCATGCAAAGCTGGGCTGCAGGTTGCTCACCGTTAGACATCCTTCCATCCTGCAAGACTCGTTCTTCCATCAAGAAGGACCCATCCAAGTCTCAGGGCACAGTTCTTGCTCACACTTCTCTCTGCCTCTCTCTAGGAACTGCGGATCATCTCATGCTCCCATGAGTTTCACCAGGAGTGTGTTGACCCCTGGCTACAGCAGCACCACACGTGTCCACTTTGCATGTTCAATATTCTACCCAGAGGTAGGGCTCAGACACAGCATTTCCTGGCCAGGGATTGGATTGGGTGCAGGGGTTGTGCCCAAAAGGTCTTTGGTGATGTGCCCTTTGGTGATGTACAGTTGAAG